TATGTCTTGATTATTAACACTTGAGTGTGTGTGTTTGTGTGTATGTCTTGATTGTTTACACTTTAGTGTGTGTGTGTGTGTGTGTGTGTGTGTGTGTGTGTGTGTGTGTTATACATATGGAGGTAGGAGGTCAATGTTGGATGTCTTCCTCAATTGATCTCCACCTTATTTTTGGGCCAGGGTCTATCCCTGGACCTGGATATCCTTAGTCTAGCTTCGTTGACTGGTCAATGATTTCCAGGGATCCTCCTATATCTTCTCTCCCCATGCTGAGGTTATAGACACATCCCACTACACCCAGATTGTTTTTAAACAAATGCTAGGGATCCAAGTCCAGAGTTTGTATGGAAGGACCTACTTGTTGCTAGTTTTACTGCCACTGCCTCCTAGGTGGCATTTTCCAAAGAAAGTTCTGTGGAATGTCACTGTCCAGTGAAAATGATCCCACTGTGGAAAAAGCTTTGAAGAATGACATATACCAACGTGTCCCATAGAGCTTCACCAGGCATGTTCCAAAGTCCCTGGGACATGCTGCCATGGGGAGCACCTGTTTTCCTTTGCTTTAGAAGCACCATTTACCCCCTCTTTTCCTGTATAAACATCTATTGCCATTCAGCTGCACAGTGCATCACCAAGGAAATTTGCTCCTTTCCCGTCTTTAAGTAAAACATTGGCAGTTTACCTATCATCTCTCGGGACCTTCTTCAAAACTTTAAAAACAAGACAGCTTCTCACCTTCTACGAACCTGTCACTGTGTTCTGCCCTATTCTGTCTTCATCTCACTGAAGGTCTTTCTTGGCTGCCACCTCACATAGCCCACTCTCCCATGTGCAAACAATTCTCATCTCCGTCTCAATGCTCCGGGTTTCCCTGGGATTCCAGGCCCATGTGCTCACCTATCCCGGCCACCTCCACTGGGCCACCAAGCACCCAGCACACCTCAAGTGAACTCACGAGCTTTTCCCTACACCAACACCTCACCTTGAATTTTCTGTCTTGAATATGTTAGTCAGTCTTCTGTTACTTCAGTGAAATGTCCAAGATAATTAACTTTGTAAACAGAAAAGTTTCATTTAGTCCATTGTTTCTGGAGGTTCAATGTCCTCAAGCCTAGTGGATATGTCCTCTGATGAGGGGGACACACCATGGCAGGAACAAGTGGCCCCGTCACTAATGGGAGCAGAGGCAGATGAGTCAGAGACCCTTCGAGAGTGCACTCCAATGACCAAAAGACCACCCACATCCCACTGGTCCTATCTCCTCAGGCAGAGCCACCTGAGGATCAACACTTTGGCAGTGCGACTTCAGATGACCACATGTGAACCACAGCAGGTCAGCATCGTCTACCTGGCTGAGTGTCTCTCCACTGCACTCACCTAGCAGCCAGGTGCTCTCCATGTGGTCTCCCAGCACACTTTCATCTGCCTTCCTTTCTCCACCATCGCAGCCAATCTACAAAGCCTCCCTTTAATAACAACAGTGTCCTCAGTGCAGGGACCCTGTTAGAAATGCACTCTAAGAATCATATACTCTAAGAAGGCCAAACTCCATGGCAGAGACATATGGGCCCTTGTGCTGTGATCTGGCATTATTTATTTATTTTTGAGACACGGACTCATGTATCCCAGGCTGGTCTTGAACTGACTATGTAGCCAAGGATGACCTTGAACTCCTGATCCTCCAGCCTCCGATCCAACTCAACAGTGCTGAAATTATGGGTGTATGCCAAGCCCCATCTCCACCCCTGTGCATACAGTGCTGGGGGCTAAACCCAGGCTTTATGCATACCAGGCAAGCACTTTACCAACCAAGCTACATCCTCAGCGAAGATCTGACTTTTTTAATTTATTTTTTATTTAAATTAATAACTGCGGTTTTTACACTTTTCCTTTTAACTAGTACAATGGGGACCAGGCAGGGAATGCAAGCTGTCACCTGATGCCCAGACCAACCTATGGAAGGCTTTCCTCTCTTTCTGAAAAGATAATATGTACCATAAAAACAAGAAGAATGGAGAACAAGTTGTAGAGCCCAGTCCCCATGGATACATCTACAAAACCCCATCCCTAAGGCTCAGGAGACCCTGCAGAAGAGGGGGCAGAAAGATGGTAAGAGCCAGAGGAACAGGAGTTTTGTCATGAGACTGTGTCACCTAGTGATGTCAGAAGCACCCATGAAGTCTCACCAACATGACTGTCTGAACATGAGCTGAACAATGTTGCAGCCCAGTAGAGATGCTCGCTTCACCTCAACCTACACAAAGGACTACAGGCAACTATGGGATGCTGAGAGCATGAAAAAATGTCTTTCCCAGGGAAGAGTGCACCAATTGGTTATCTAATACTAAATGGTCAGTCCTAAAAACAAACATACAAGTCTAATTACTTAGACTGAACAGTTTATATTTAATGAAAAAGAGGCCAGGAATTTGAAAAAGAGCAAGGAGGGATATGTGGAAGTGTTTGGAGCGGGGTGGGGGGGGGATGATGCAATTACAATCTCAAAAGTAAATTTTAAAAAAGACAAAAAATATAAATGCATACAAAAAATAAAGTTTATGACTTTGTAAGAAAAAAGCAGGGGGGAGTCAAGGGCTTCACCATTTCCAGCTTGGATGAGTTACATTTGCGGGTGTAGTCTCACTCATTTCAGGGAACTGTAAAGCAAGGAGAATACAAAACAATGCATGTTCGTGTATTTTGAAATCAGCCTCTTTCAGCGTCTGTGTTCAGTGTGACTCTGCCCCGAAGCAGTCAAAGGCAGTGTGCCCGAGACAGAGTGTGAATCCATTTCCCCAATTAAATGGAGATAATCTCATCTCCATCCTTCCTGCCAAAGGCCTGGCAGTTACCAAGACAGCTGAGGATCCCGGCCAGGATGGAAGAGCCGGAGTGACCCAGTCTTGGGGAGTAGGGCTGACTCCCCCAGGGGGGGGGGGGGGGGGGGGGGATGGCTGTCATCATAAGCATCATGACCAGAAGCATCTTGGAGAGGAAAGTGTTTGTTTGGCTTACATGTACTGATCACAGCTGGTCACTGAAGGAAGTCAAGGCAGGTACTCAGGCAGGAACCTAGAGGCAGGAACTGAAGCAGAGGCCATGGAGGAACACTGCTTAACGACTCCCTCCTCATGACTTGTTAAGCTTGATTTCGTATACCATCAGAAACACCTGTCCAGGGGTGGCAGGCTGAACCCTCCCGTAGGAGTCAAAAGGAATGTCCTACAGGCCAATCTTCTGGAGACATTTTCTCAGCTGAGGTTCCCTCTTTCTGGATGACCCCGGCTTGTGGCAAGTTGACAAAAAACTCATTACAAGATTGTTAGAGGGGTGCCAACAGCAGGGCAGAACCTCCCCACCACTTCCTGGTGGAGCTGATGGCCCTCAGTGCTTTCCCGGCTCCCAGGAGAAGTGTGATGTAGGTTTCATTACAGTTGTCACACAGGGCTTGGTTTCAGCCCCCAACCCCCACCCGGGACACTCAAATTCATGGGTGTACGAGTCCCTTATCAAACCAAGACACCTGCAGTTGCAGTTCTATATTCTTCCCAGTCAGTTTTAAAGAGTGTTTTCAAGGGTTGAAGTTGTAGCTCAACTGGTAGAGTGCTTGCTTACATGCTTGAAAGCCTGGGTTCAGTCCCCAGCACCACATAAAAACTGGGGTACTAGCACATGCCTGTAACCCAAACACTTGGGAGATGGAGACAGGAGGATCAGAAGTGCAAGGTCATTGTTGGCTACACAGTGAATTTAAGGCTAGCCTGGGCTACATGAGAACCCATCTTAAAAACAAAACACCACTACGAAACAAAACTTTTCAAAGTGGTTCAGTTGCTTTTAAGTTTGGAAGTATTTTTCTGTCACCTATGATCAGACTTGGGGTACCTCATGGGAACACACTGTGGGAAAGGCTTTAGTTCTTAATTATAGAAAATTCAGTGACATTTTTGTTATGACTTAAACTCTTGTGTCATTTTAAAGCATTCTCCAATTCCACAGAGAAGAGGCACGGCCTTCTGTATGACAAGGACAAATGACATCCTAACTACTGCTCTCACTTTGTCCCCGCCATCGCTATGACTCTAAAATGCAAACCTTACAGAGATTGAACACAGTATTAAACATCCCCTCACTTAGCTTTTGGCCAATCCCTCCTTTTTGCCTAATGGCTTTTCTCAGAACATAGTATGTGAACGGAAATAAATCCTTCCTTAGATTGCTTTTGTCAGGTCACAAGAGTAACTACCGCCCTCCAGGACTGTGGGGGAAGGGGCTCAGCATTTAAGAGCAGGAGGAAGCAGACAGGGTCGGAGAGACCTGGTGAAGCTGAATATTGGAGGTCTGATGAGAGCACAGATTTTAGACATGGCCAGAAGGGCACATGAGCCAAGAATTCCTGAGAACCCTGATGTCAAAAACATGGATGGATACAGCAAATAATATGAGTGTGTTTTTCGTAAGATCTAGAACCAGGATCCCCTCAAAGACAGAATTCCAGTCTCAGCTCATTCTCACGTTGGTCTTGTGTGCCTGTCTATACTCAGGGCTGCCATTCACCTGCTGAATCCCTCAGGGCGGATTCTATACCCTGGGGCAGACTTTTTCTTAAATGGACTGAGACTATAATGAGGCTACCATGAGCCTGCTCGCTGCTTTCTTCTTTCCCACAGGCAGAGACTACAGCAAGGATTCCTCCAGTCCCTGTGTCCTGGACACACCCAACCTCAGCCTCTTGGGACCACAGCTGTCTCTGCAGTGGTAGGGCCTACTGGTCTGTTGGCCCTACCACACCGAATAACCTGTACTTTAAGGCAGAGTCATGGCTCACAGTAAAGAGTACAGAGAGTCTGGGGGGTGGGTGGGAGACTCACAGCTTCTTGCTTATTATAGGGCCATAGGGTGTCCAGGGAAAGGCAGGGTGTTGTGGGAGAGCAAGCAATCTCAAAGAAGGGCCAAACCTCATTTGCAGGGCTCCACACATTCCAGAGACAGGGACTCACCTTCTCGTGGTTCAACAGGATAATCCTCACCAGCACAACGTTAATGTGGGCCCCCAGTGACTCGTCATGGTAGATTTCATTGACCTGAAAGACAGCCAGGGAGATATCAGCAGGAACGATGGGCCAAAGATGGCTCCGGCTGTGTACCTGGCATCTTGTTCCCAAGCCCCCAGGTAAGAACCCAGGGGCCCTGCTTGTCTTTCTCTACATATTTACCTCCAATATTCCATCAACTCCAAACTGCCTCTTGATCCATCCCTCTACGACCCTCCCTGGTCCCGGCTGCTACTATCACCTGCCTGGATTTCTGCAGTGGCCTCCTGAGACATCCCACTTCCTGACCTATACCCTCCCTCAGAGCTGAACTTGAAGCAAAGAATTCTCTCACCATCACCTCCCAACTGAAGCATGGCATTCCCTCCAGAAGGAATGACAACTGTCAGAGTAAGTCATTCCTGGTTGTTGCTGCTCTGTGAAATGTTATCCGTGTACATCGCTTCACTCCACACTCGGTATCCCACAAACTCCACGTCCAAGGATTCAATCAACCCCAGATCAAAAATATTTTGGGGAAAAGTTTACAGAAAGTATACAGGCTTTTTCCCTTGTCATTTCCTTCTAAACTAGACAATAGCCTGTTACATGGCATTTGTGCCTTATGAAGTATTGTAAGTCATGTAGGAACCACTTAATGAATATGGGACTGTGTGTAGGTTAAACACAAATATCAAACATATTACTCCAGGAACTTGAACACCTGAAAGGTGTTCTGGAACTGAGCTAAGTCTTTCGGATGGGGAAGGATGCTGCACTTGGAAATGTGGACCAC